ACCCCAGTCACAAACAAGACCAACCCACCACTCTCCTATCAAGGGGTCCAGGTCCCCGTCCAAACTTGTACTCTAAGCCCCCACTCCTCAGTCTCGGACTCAGTGTGATGCTTAGACCTCCACCATCTCCGCCTCCAATCAGTCGGTCCGAAAAGAGCCGGAACCAACGACAAGAGAGCAACGAGCCTTCTCGCTCCCATAAACAAATATGTGCTCAGGATAATAAGTCTGTGACATGACTAGAATCCACTACAACGGATGGTCCTTAACCAACACGGACAGGGAAAATAGTGTAACCAAGCTATGCCCCGTTGGCCACGGGACACAACCTATTACCCCCACCAATACTCGTACCATATCCCTGCTTGGTATCCATTTTCTTTTACCATTTTGTCATGAGAGTAATAATAATCACCTATTATGAGTAACGACAGGTTACTCACGCTACCGATAGCCTAAGCATAGCAGCTACTCGACCTATGCTAGTACGACTCATAGGTAGGTTTATCTATGCATGTAGTTTCAATATAGATCATATAACGGAAATGTACATCATATATATATATTCAGTGATTATCAGAAATAAGGGATCATGCACCGAAGCTTGCCTTGGGTAGGCGTGGTGTCAGTTGAGTCAGTCAGTGGCGGCTCTGGGACCTCCTCCTGCATGAGGATCTCCTCCTTGTACTCCTCGATCACCTCCTCATACTCGTGATCGCCGGTGGTCACGATCTCCACCAACTCATTCTCTATATGCATGCAATGATGATGCAACACTTAGTATTTATGCAACAGCAACTCTTAAACTAAGAATACACATGCTAAGCTACTAAGCTAGCTCTAATGACTAAGGCACTAATTTAACTATCATCTTTACCAAGCAAAGTATTGGGTTTAACTAACACAAGCCTAGCTTTACAATTGAAGGATATATCTTTATTTCTACTAATGATTTAATGTATATTTGAAAACAAAGAGCATTTAACTACCTTATGTCTAGTCTATTCTAAAGCTACAAAAATTACAGTGAGCACATAATAATACCACGATGTTGCTATAAAATTTTTAGGGCTAAAGCTATCACCAATCTACCACAAAAATTCCTATAATATTTAACCTAATAATATTAAGCACTCTCAAATGATTTAATAGCTCTTGGTATCAACATGTATATATATAAACTAAATACACTAACAGATAGAGCACAATTTTAGAAACTTAACAAAATTTGTTTCATAATTTTTGTATACCTACATGATTTTATATGATTTACCAAAGATCAGCTCAAAAATTCTATTAGAAAACTATTTCTAATTCCTCATGAAAAAAAACGTATTCTCTCACATGGCCCACACACGCGGCCCACGTGACACAGTGTGTGGCGGCCCACGGTGTGGCCCACGTGGCGTAGGCCTGCGCGGAGACGGCCGGCGACGGGGAAATCCCGCGCACGCTGGCACATTAACAAAAACGCCCCTAGATTATGAACAAAACAACCCGCAGTCCATGTTACTATTCTTAGAGACAACACTTATGCAAAAAGGCCCTTGTACTCTCTTCTCTTTATAACGACATGGTCCGTGTCCTCCCTTGCGCGCTCCGACGCGGTGAGTGGTGGCACTGGCGACATCACCAACCACCTTGAACCCTTGCGGACCTAGCTAGGCGACCGATGCTCACCTATGGGCCGACGCGCGATGATGGGCGGTGGTTGCACAAATAGGGGTGAAGCAGAGCGGGCTCTCCCCGGCGGCGGGTGGCCTGCAACGGCGGCAACCGCGTTCCGGTGAGCCACAACGCTAACAGAACGGTAGAGATAGGGAATAAGCACCAGGGGCACACCCCGAACCCAACCAAAGTGGTGGTTCGGTTGGTGACTACCTGAGGAGTGCTGGCCACGTGCGCACGATGAGCACGGTGACAAGCCACGGTGGACAAGCCCATGTCAACGGCAGTGGGGAGGCGGTAGCGCTCCCATTGGCATGTGCACGGTGGAGAGGGAACCAAGGTGAGCTAGTGGTGCAGAGGAATTTGCGCGGGTTGAAGTGGTGAAGGCTGGCCACGATGCGGGCAGTGACGGTTCATAACGGCATGGTGGCGGGCAAAGCTCCAAAATTGGAGCTCGGCTGAGCTGCAATCAAAGCGGGGTGGGGGTGGCTAGAGAGGAGACGTGAGAACAGAGACGCGGGCACGAGGAATTGATGAGAGGTGCTCGCTCTCTAACTCACCATGATCGCGACACGACGGTGGCAGAAAACAGGGGGAGAAAGAGAGAAACGGGGTGCGGTGGTGGGCTCGGCTTGTCCTTGCCTTGGCGGGATACGGTCGATGAGTTCATGGAGACCCACATGCAGACGCTAGCAGATAGGCACGCATGCGCCCAACCATGTACACGACATGGGGAGGCCACGCGGTGACCGCGCACCTGGCGCCAACCAACCCGAGACATGTGACGCACACGAATTTCAAAGCGCTCAACACGACCAAACGGTTGCTCCAAGAGCCAAACCAGCTTCATCATGCTCAAGATGGCATATGACACTACCAAATCGAGCTATAATACTACATCACCCTTTAACTCAATCTCTCACAATAAATTGCTAAACATAGCAATGCCTAGTTGTTGGCAGACTTGAAAATTTCTAAGTTTTTGAGCTGGATTTGTTTTCAATTTGCGATTTCTAAGCTAGTGGAAATATTAGCTAGTAATATCATTTTTTGACCGCAAGTATTTTATTGTCATCTACAAAGTTTGCACTTCAAACTTTATTTAAGTACCACATACATGTTCTATAGCATTTTTTAATAAAAATTGGTTTTAAACCCTACTTGATGACTGTACAAATCATGGAGCAACTTTCGTTTAGCGTTTTTGTTGATCGTTTTGAGTTACAGAAATTGATCTACACATTTTATCACATGCATTAACACATAAACATGATGCTCATGACATGTTTTAGGAGATAATTTACGGTGTAACGCCGAGGGTGTTACAGACACCGTCGAACTTATCCTCCAATTAGCGGACTTCTTAGCAATACGCAACAATTTTGGCGTTGTGGCAGCTTGAGTCCTTCATGACTTGATCGATGACCAGCTGAGAGTTGCCCCGGATATCAAGCCGTCGGATGCCCAACTCGACAGCGACGCGTAGGCCATTGATGAGTGCCTCATATTTGGCCACATTGTTGGAGGCAGGAAAATAGATGCGAACCATGTACCTCATCCGTACCCCGAGGGGCGAAACAAAGACCAACCTCACGCCGGCGCCTCTCTTCATCAGCGATCCATCGAAGTATATCGTCCAGTACTCTTGGTCGACGACTGCTAGCGGCATTTGGATCTCGGTGCATTCTGCAACGAAATTGGCTAGCAGTTGGGACTTGATGGCCGTCCAAAGGGCATACGAAATGCCCTGACCCATCAGCTCGAGTGCCCACTTCGTGATTCTTCCTGTGGCATCCCGGTTTTGGACGACCTTGCCGAGAGGGAAGGACGTCACGACCGTCACCGGGTGCGACTCGAAGTAGTGACGCAATTTTCTCTTGGCAATCAGGATGTTGTACAGGAGTTTCTGGATTTAGGGGTAGCGAGTCTTGAAATCGAACGAGACCAGAAGAAGAAGAAGAATTCAGATGCAGACGCTCCTTAGATAAGGAAACATTTGTGGCTTCTAGTGATGAAATGGATCGGAGGTTTATACCTATACGGGTGCAAGAGGCAAAGAAGGATGGATGCCGTGACAGTACTGAAGAGTCAGAGTCGCCCATAGCCCATCTACTATCTATGTGGACTCTGTGTGGAGTGGAGGTTTGCTTGATAAATAAATTTATAAGATTATCTTAAATTAGTATTTTAATTTTGATCGGATTTTATAAAAAAGAAGAGAGCCAAGACTTAGAACACAAAATCAATATTATTAAATACATCATAAAATATGTTTTTTATAATATGTTCATTTGATGTAATAAATATTTTTTATAAATTCAATCAAACATAAGAAGCTTGACTTAAGATAACTCTAGAAATTAATTTGTTGAGAGACAGAGAAAGTATTTGTTTTGAATGTTGATGTGAGATATAGAAGGGCGGCTAAAATCCTCATGTCGCCTGCCCGCCGTCAACTTTTGTCGTCGCCCCTTTTAATTTACTTTAGAGATTAATTAACTTTATGAAAATTAATCAAAAATGGTGGCGGCGTGAACTTTGGCTAGAGGTTAAGCTTGCTTTCCGCCGGGTAACTTGAAAGGCCAATGCAAGTTGTTGTTGTTGTTGTTTTGATAAGGCCAAGTTGTTGTTGAATTACTAAAAGCAGAGCAGACCTGTCATTGATTCGATCATAACTAAAGGATTTGACGAGTAATGCGACCTTTTCCGCTTTCTTTTCTTTAGAAGCTCAAATCCAGGCAGGCAGGCAGGCAGGTATATAATAGTGACGTCGCATCGACCATGTGATGTGATCCTATTTAGAATCGATTATTGAACTAGGGCATACTTTAGCAGTAGCAAGTAATAACAGATTAGTATATAATTAACAGCAATAATAATAATAATCTATAGTAGATATGTAAAATTAATTAAACGGAAGATCGTAGAAGATTCAAGATATACGATGAATGAATAATTAAGCAGGCAATATACGGAACACAATAATAATGATACTAGTGTTTTATTGGAGTACAATAATACTAGTGGCTTGCAGTAGTACAGGCCGAATAATACAGCAGGAGCAGCAGCAGGACACGAGGAGGAACGCGACGCCGCCATGGATCAGCGGCGGCGACGAATTGGGGTGGGTCCCACCGTACAATACGTATGTATACGGTACGTACAGGATACACACACGGCTAGAGTAGTACTCAACGACGACGATAGTGAAAGAAAAGGCGCGAGCAAAAATCCAGTATAATATACGACGACGACGACGACTTGGGTGATGGATGGATCTGATCTGATTAATCCAATCCAATTCCCATGGATGGGAATCGATCGATCATGAGTCAGAGGGCGAGGGCGAGGAGGAGGCCCGGCAGCGAGTTGGTGGCGCTGTCGGGGCGGCGGCTCTGCCACACGCACTTGGCGGATGCGGAGGCGGCGACGGCGGCGAGGCGGGTGACGGTGAGGTCGGTGTTGAAGTACTCGCGGAGCTGGGTGATCACCCCATCGGGGCCCACGGTCCAGGCGTGCACCCAGTAGCAGCGCCCCTCCTGCCCCTCGGCGATGACGGTGCTGCTGCTGGTGGAGGCGCCGAGCGCGTCCACGGAGCGCGGGACGAAGCGGAAGCCGCTGCCGCTGCCGCTGCCGCCGGTGAGGAGGCGCATCATGTGCTGGTGCTTGGGCGGGCCATGGAACCACCACTCGAGGTCGGGCGCGAGCAGCGACTGCACGGCGGCGTGGTCCCGGGCGTTGAGCGCCTCGTACAGGCGGAGGACCAGGAACTTGTTGCGCTGCTCCGGAGTCTCCGGCGGGTCGATGCCTATCTCGTCGCCCTCTCCGGCGGTGGCGCCGCGCACTGGTCCAGCTCCAGAAGTGGAAGACGCCGCCAGCTCCTTAATTACGCGAGGACAGACGACGGTTGTTGGGTCGGGGTTGCCTGCGTGTGCTTGTGTGTGTGCGTGGGAGGCCAACCCAAGGGGGCTCGCCTGCCTTTTATAGACAGATCTGAGTGGTGGTTGTGCTTCCGTGCGCGCGCGTCCCAGCCGGAACCTCCGGAACCCGCAAGCGTTCCTTCCATCCGAGTTCCGCCTCCGCTCGCACACGGCACACAAGCTAGTCTGTGTGTATTCTATTATGAGTCAGCGGTGTACATGTTACGTTGGTGACTAGCTAGCGAGAACGTACAATAACACGACAGATGCCCACAGCAACACGCTAACAGTACTCCATCCGTCAAAAAAAAAAAAACTATGTTCCTTTCTACAAGGCGCGCACATATAAAAATTCGAACTTTAAAATCTTCGATCAATAATTAGCTTCTATTTTTAACATAATACAAACTTGATATGGTTAGATTCGTAAGCCCATTCAATAGTTATATATTATAAGCCTAATAATATAATATAGAGTAAATGAATGGTCAAAGTGTAATTAAGAGGACCATAAGCGTTCCAAACTGGGCCTTATAAAATAGAACCAAGGGAGCGAGTATAATTCTCACCTATCGATGAGTCAAATAAATTATGAAATATATTCATTTGCATAGTAAATCTAATTAGAGACATAAATGTTGATGCTTTTTTTTTATAAACTTGATCAATCTTAGAAAATTTTGACTTATCTAGAACCTAGAAATGATTTTTTTTTTTGGCCAGAAGGATACATATGCTTATGATAGACGTGGGAGGGACGATGCGTCTTGCATGACGTCCAGACAGACAGCAACCGGAACGATTGATTGGTACGCCGTCTCATCAAATCGTCACTCCCAGCTTTCCTGTAATTAATTACTAACTGACGATACATCATGTCTGCTTATATATATGTCGGCCGATCGATTACCAAGAAGACAAGCTACTACCAAGAAGACAAGTCGTCTGATCTGATATATATACGACGATAGACATGTTGCCGTACGTCGCAGACATGTTGCCGGAGAGCTCGATCGATCGATGTACAGGCGCCAATTGCATGCGTGTGTTGTGTTTAGACTTTATAGAGAGAGACTCTCACACGCACAAGAAATGATCGATCATCCACCGTCATGGTCCGATCGAAATGCCTCCCAGCTTATCTCGTCGATAAGATAAGATAAGACAAGACAAGAACGAGCCCACCCGGTCTACATTTTAATTGATTTTAAACTAACCCATCCAACTTGTGCTACCCCAAAACGCTTTAGGATTTTATAATTTACATGGGTATTAAAAATTTTGTGGACAAAATAATTACATTTAGATAACATAGATTGATTACCTTTACTATCATTTTTCACGATCGATAAACTATAAGATATATTTATGATTAATATATTACAGCATTTATTTTTACTTTAAATTTACATTTTTCATGATATCTCACATTGGAAATTTAGACATAGATCCAAGAGATGTTTTAGTTTATATTTTATAACAACAACAAATGTGGATATATAATTTAGATGCAACTTAAAGGGGTCAGTATATATATTATCTTTCATAATAGCATAAATGGGTAATTTAAAAGCTAACTTAGGGTTGTTTATGTTATTTTCATAATGGCAGAAATGAGCACTTCTTTCTTACAAAATAGACGCCTACACATATAGATTCAAACTTTATGATCTTTGACAAATTATTTTTAATTATTGAAATACAAACTTGATATGGTTAAATTTGTAATCAATTTTACTACTTCAATAACCATAATTGTATAATCATAAACAATATAGCATAAAACAAATCAATGGTTAAATTGTAGCTTGAGAGACCATATCATGTCAAGCTTTGCTTTATATACTGGAGAACAAGGTGGTGTAATAGCCAGGCACGAGGAGGTTGCATTGGGACAGATTATTCCAAGGGATTAAACTGTATGCTTTTGTTATTGGGTCATACTTAGATTTGCTCGGGTTGGTTGGAATTATTTTATTTGATTGTGCTAGGACATGGTACGGTGGCCGCCTATCGCCGGGCTGGAAAGGTCGGGATAAATTATTTCAAGAGATTAAACTCTATGCTTTTGTTATTTAGGTCATTTGCTCGAGCTAGTTGTAATAATTATTTTATATAACTAGATATATGCCCGTGCATCATGACTCTAACTCGAGACCTCTAGTCCTAGTAGGATATAATATGAAAAACAGAGTAATTTTTTCAGAAAGAATATAATATTTGAGGCCTACACAGACAGCACCGACCCTAGAAGGATTTGTCACTAGCTAGATCGCCTGGTTGGAAGCGATCGACCACTAGTGTGCGTGGGTGGGTTGGAAATAAAGGGCAAGCTAAGCAACTTTGTCTTTGTTATCTTCGTCGTTTGACTATAGCTCAGCACCCTTACTACTTTAATTTGGATAACATACTGGCACTCACGGTCAGATGCAATTGCATGCATGCGTGGATCGGATGATGTTTCTGATTTGTCTGTGAATCTGAGGATGCGCTGTCTCCCTTTCCTCTCCCGTCTCGTCTTCGTATCTTTTTCCCTTTTGATGTTGGAAAGCAAAGTGCACTCTGACTGCACTCTGACTGATACTGCATAATTATTCTCACTAGCAGGTAGCAGCCAAAAATTAAAGGTCAAGTAGATCTACATGAAAGGCCTCGCAAGACAATTAAAAAGAAGATTCTGTAAAGTAATTAGGTCGATCATCATATTGTCATGAAACTGGTAGACACGTCCGTGTCAGCTGTTCGGTAAAAGTCTCTGTTCGAAAACTTGCATTGTCCACCTGGGTTTTAGACGATCCCAGACTTAGTACAAGTGCTTATATTTTCGATTAACTATACTTTGAGTCATAGCAACATGCTCTCTCCATCATAAGGAACACTGAGCTAGAGTGCGTGTATGTAAGCATGTGTTCTGTGTTTTTTTTTTTGAAAAGATAAAAAATGCTAGTAATTGTCGTACCAATCACTCACAATATTCAATAACCAACGGCGTTGCAAACCCATGATAATCTTGGCTTGCAAACTTAACGGAGGTTTCACGTGTCAACGGTTTTGATCACGCGCGTTCTCGAATGTGGAATCTTGGGACGTGGTTGCTACTACCAGGCCCGGCCTGACCGGCTGGTCTGGCCGTGGCTAGCCAGAGTCAGGTCCAAATGGTGCAAGTGACCGTGTTTGATTACCGAGTCCTTCGGAGCCGAGTCCAAACCAGAACGTGTTTGTTTACCTGTACAAAGAGAGTATGGCTACCTTGCACAAGAACGTGGTAGCTTTACCACCACAGCACTTCTCAATGGCATTTCATCGAGCAGGTGATGAGCATGTGCCAGTCCAGCGCCCAGGGATGGAGAAGTTGAGGATTCCGGTGCAGTGGCGATCTTGGCGCGGCGGCGGAGGCACCACGCACACGCGAGGCAGGCGTGGCGCGACTCGGCACGGCGGTGGCAGCAGTCACGCGCGCGCAGCCGTCTCTGTGCGGCGGCAGTGACGGCACGCACGCGCTCTGCTAGGTGCGGCGGCGGCCACCAGGTCGGCCACGGTCCACTCGGCGGACGCCATGACGTGCAGCGGCCACATGCTCTGCTGCACCGCCACGCTCACCAGAACCTTGCTCGGCGTCCTCCTCGGACTCCTCCCCGTGTCACCACAGTCCGGGGGCGGGGACCCGGAATTGAAGCTCGCTGCGCTGACGCCGGCGAGCAGGTCAGGCAGCATCTTGGGCCTTTGCTTCTGCGGCTGGTGGTGCCGCTGCTCGGTCCCGCGCCCGTGGAACGACGCCGACCGCTGCTGAGCCGCAGCCACCGTCATCGCCTGCCGCTGATGCTTGCCGCCGATGCTTGCCGCCGGAGCTGCTGCTCTTATTCTCGCCGTGCGGCGGCACCAGAGGAGGCATCGCGCGTGCCGTGACTGCGAGCGCCGGCTGGCTGCAGAGCGGGGCTCTAGACGTCGATCGAGGCGATCGATCCGCTAGTGACGACTACGGACGAGTCACGTTCGGTGGTGGCGGCAAGGCTCGCGGCGGCCGGATGACGAGGCGGTCAATGCTGCACAGGTGAGCTCCGCACCGGAGGACGCCGGATCTCGCTGGAGGAGCCGAGCCGGAGGACGCCGGATCTCGCACGGAAGCGGGTGCGCCAGCAACTTCTTCGGAGGCCATGGCAGTGGTGTGAGCCGCACGTGCGCGGACGCGAGCGGACGCGTGAGCGCTTCACCGAGCCAGGCCGTGGAGAAACGGAGGGGGAATTCGTTTCCTATGGATGAAAACGGTACGGATATTTATTCGATCGTCCGTTCGACCGAACAAATATGAACACTTATCTGAATAGTTACTCGGATATCCGTAATTTTTTTCGGATATGGATAATAAAATGGATATCTTAGGCGGATATCAAATACGAATGTAATATCATCGATATCCGGCGGATATCGGATAATCCGGTTAAGTATCGGATATATCCGGATATTATTCAAACGGATATTATCCGGATCTTATTCAAACGATCTTGGATGGAGAAATGATCCAAATAAAAATTGTAGATCTCAAAAAGTTATGAAACTTTGTTGTTTACAACTTTTTCATTTGAAATCATTTAGTGCTTCAAAATGCTATTTGAATTTTAATTTCGAAATGATTAAATAACGTCTATTTCTCTTTTTAATCTTTGACTAAAACTTGTAACTAGTTTTTCTCCCTCGTATTAACTTTAAATTTGATAAATTTTTTTCTAAAATTTTCTAAAATCATGTTCTATCAATTTATTGTGTTCTTATAGCTATTATTGTGTTCAGCTTTTCATGTGACTGTATTCTATCTATTTGAATTTTGAATTTAAAAAAAATAGCAACTTCAAACGTCATTTTCAAACAATAAATGACTTCAGCTGAAAAAGTCATGAACATAAAAGTTGTAAAACTCATCAAGATCTACAACTTTTATTTTGGTCATTTGTTCATCTGAGATTGTGGTAGTAACATTATTCACAAAATTTACATCTCTCTCTGGTAGTTTGATAAACTATAAGAGAGATGTGTGAAATTCGTGAATAATGTTACTACCACTATGTCGGATGAATAAATGACTAAAATAAAAGTTGTAGATCTCAGAAATTTATGAAACTTTATAGTTGAAAACGTTTTTATTTGAAATCATCTTGTAAAAGAAAACTATGTTTGAATTTCTCAAATTTAAAATTTGGATTTTTCAAATGATCTCGGAATCTCGGATGAAAAACAATCAAAATGAAAGTTTTAGATCCCAAAAAGTTATGAAACTTTGTTGATTACAACATTTTCATTTGAATTTGTTTAGGGGCTCAAACAATAATTTTTTGTTTTTTTTGTTTTTTTTGTCTCGAATTGTGATTTTTGGAATTGGGCCAAAATATTACTTCTTGCCCAAACGGCCCAATCCTCTATAACCCTAGCTAAGCTAGCTGGCCCATATATAAGTTCCCACTTGGATATATATATATTATATATATATGCTGCTTTTACTCAATATCCGAATAGATATTTGTATCCGACCTTCTCCGAATCCGATTCATACCGTATTCGATACTCATTATTCGTATCCGTAACCGAGTCAATCCGTATTCGTATATGTATCCAAACGCTATCCGTGTCCGAATCCGAATTCGAACAGAAATATGAAAACAAATATAATATGAGTGATATCCGTTCGTATCCGGTCCGTTTTCATCCATAGTTTCCCCACAGTCAGGAGAGAGAAGGCCTTTTTTTTTGCATCGAACGGGCCAGGCTCACGAGTGGGCCAATGACGGGAGTTGCAGCTCGGGAGCGCAGCCAGGCCGCTGGGGCAGGGTACCAAACACGCCCTTAGCATGCCGTGTTTCCAGGCTAGGAATTGCTGCTGTCTGACAGGCTGAGGCCCTGAGCGGTTGCTTGCTGGACCCACAGGCCCCGGTGGGGTTGTTGGGTTGGGTCAGCACTGAGCACTCAGCAGTTGTGTGGGCCGGACGCCCGGGCTGGCGAGTTGGTTTGATTTCTCGTGCGCGTGGGGAGTTGCTTCTGCCCTGCTCTTCTGTGGACGACCGCACACATGGCAACACAAGAGGAGCTAACCAAGCCACTCTAATACTCTATGCGTTTGTTTGTTTTGACTCTGTATGTACACTACAGCTACAGGTTTATTTTCATCTTATCAATCACTGACAAGATTTTCATACCACAGACTGACTGAAGAACCTCAACCACCTTTGATAGGACTACATTGCCACACGTGTATCGCGCTCGCGCGTATCGGTAAATTCAGTAACGCTAACGTGAAGTAAAGATAACCAAGTCTTTCAGTTTCAAACAACAACCTAACACTAACAGGACCTCTTCACAATAAGTTTACTGATACAGAATCAAACCGATGCGCGGTAAAAGTAAAATAAATGGCTGACTGAGCTATTTCGCCCTTGCAAACGCCAAATCCAGAAGAGTGCGGAAAAACTTGTGGGGGTACACGGGCGGTTCCTCTGCGAGTGCCTGCGATTCATTGCCACCATACATTATCATAATGTAAGTTTTTTTTTCCCGTTCAAGTGCTGCTGCTGCTGCTGCCACAGCAACAACAACAATGGGCAGATAATGCAGTTTTTCTGTGAGCCAGCCAGAGCTAGCCCTTAGCTTACTTGGTGGATCAGCACGGTGGATGGAGTCATCCCAGGTACAGTGTTGATTTCGATCAGCAGCACCTGCATGCAGGACCAAGCATTGGGAACGAGGCGGCTAACTTACTACCACACTACCACAACTAGGAGTAATAATTATCATCTTCATTTGAGCAAAACATTTCACATTCATACCTCCCCGCTTCGCACGTTGACAAATGCATCAATGCGCGAGAAGCCTTCCAAACCTAGAGCGTTTGCCATGATCTCGATACTCTTCTTGCACCTCTGCAGAGCATCCTCGCTACAAAAGGCAAGCCAAAAGATATGCTCACAAATAATACTGCGTTTCGGAACCGGGGTCCTTAACCGACTAGTGAATTTGTGCTGCGTGTTCCTAATTTCGGATGGTGATGCAAAGAGACATAAGGTTTATACTGGTTCGGACAATGGATGCCCTACGTCCAGTCTGAGAAGATGTTCTTGTATTCCTTGCACCGGGGTGCTCGTAGTAGGGGGTTACAAGCTAGGCGAGAGAGGGAGTTCGTCCCAGGTCTCTGTGAGGGGAGGTGATATGAGTTACAGAATGAGGCGTGTTGTTCGTGCGAGTATCCGTGACTCTATCCGTCGTCCCTAGAAACGGTCCTGGCCACCTCCTTTTATAGCCGCAGGGAGGAAACCAGGAGTACATAAGAGAGCTACACGTGGAGCGGACTATTCGATGACGTATTTACTCCTGGAGCAGCATGGCGTTGTTGTGGGAGTTCCCGTAGATGTCTAATCGGTATGGTCTCCACTGCAAGTAACATGCTGCGCATTTATTGGCTTGGTGGATTGCAGAAGCTCGGCGGCCATCATAGCCGGTCGTGCCGAGGCCTGTTGTGCCGAGGCCTATTGTGCCGAGGCCTGCCGTGCCGAGGCCTGAGAAGTGACCAGTGCGAGATGTGGGTCTCGCGCCATCAGTGCGAACAGTCACGAGACGTGCGCCTCACGGGATCTGATACTGTGTTGTCGATGGGGATGGTAAAAAGGTGATCTGATCGTTGTCCGTCGCTCCTGTTGCGGCATAATGCCGATCGTTGGCTTACGTGGCGAGGTGCAAATGGTGAGCGCGTGTCGGATCGATAGCTTTGCCAGAGAGACCTTTGAGGCGGAGGCGACGAGGTTGCGGGACGAGCCCGGCCTCGGGCGAGGCGGAGTGCAGCCAATTCGTCCGAGGCCCTACCGGGGGGGTCTCGGGCGAGGCGGACGGACGAGGCGGAGTAAGATCAGTGAATCCGAGGCCCTGTCGAGGGGGCTCGGGCGAGACGGAGCGGTCGGTCCGGCTGATTCCGAGGCTCTGAGGAACCCGCTCGACTCCCCACGTTATGCGATGTCCTTGGTGCGCGGAGTTAGGCGGCAGACGAGGGTCGGTAACCCACTCTGCGTGCTGTCGCAGATGGCGGGAGGTTGACGCGACTAGCGTGTAGTCGGTCACTTGTTTATCTTTATGCCCATCGTCGTCTGTCGGAGTGGTTGGGCGCTTGGATCGCGACGTTCGGTCGAGAGCGGTTTTTGGTCGAAGAGGCGGTCACGGGCTGGTGCCGAGCCGGCCCTCGAATCGGAGAATCGGCACTTCTTCCGAGGCCCGGCGAGGGGGCTCGACGAGGGGCCTCGGCGAGGCGGTCTCAAGCGAGTCGGAGAATCATTCGCTTCATTGGGGCTCGGCGACGGGGTTTCGGGCGAATCAGAGATTTCGGCCGAGACCTCGTTTGTTTATTCCGTTGGTTCTGTTCTTAGGGTCTAAGCAGTTTTTCGATCATTGCTTGGGGTACCCCATTTTCTGGTATCCGACAGTAGCCCCCGAGCCTCGGGCGGGAGTGTGGGATACTCTCCCCGAGGTTTTTTCGAGAGTTTTGTTTCTCGGTGGCTCTTGTCGGGCTTGTTTTATACTCATGATTACGGTGCGCTGTGAAGCGCACTCCACCGGTGTAGCCCCGAGGCCTTAGAGGAGTGAGTTTACTCCTTTAGGGGCTTTTTCTTCGTTGAGTAAGGCGCTCTATCGCATTTGCTAGACCCATGAGAGCGAGCTCGGGTCGCTTGTTTTCGTTTAGGGTGCGGGAGGAGCCCCGAGCCTGCCGAGCCCTCTCAGCGTCGCGATCCTAGGTCACTGGTCTCGGTAAGGTTTGCGGGAAGAGCCCCGAGCCTCCG